GAAAAATAGGTAAGAGTCTAGGGAAAACAAAATATAGAGAAGAAACAGAAGTGGGAAAGTTCTCAGCATGGTTCATTTTTTTGTTTTTGTGCCAAGTTCTTATTGATACAAATAGAATATTTGCAGCTCTGTGGAAGGAGCAGGAACCCATGAATCCTTGTAGAGAATTGATTCTTAGCTGGTGTGCCACAGATGGGCTGTGGTGGGTGATGGACAGGGGTGAACTGGGGTGAAAAATCAGGCCATGGATGGAGTGGCTGTGCAGGGCCTGAATTTCTGTGTTCTGATCACAGAACTGCACTTATTCATTATGTTGTCTTAAAGCAAACTATTGATTTTCTGCTTCCATTTATTTTTTGTCTTAAAATTTGAGATTATATAAACACACAGCAAAGGGCTGAAGTAAAGGCTGATTAGTTAATGTTTATACAGTGCTTGGAATCTGTGAAGTACTGAACACAGTTATATTTTGTACCCATAGAGAAATCCTGTGGCATTCAGAACATCTCCACAGAAAGCCACTACCTCCATGCTACTCTTCTGGTAAATAGCTCCCTCAGGAACAATATTGCCATTGCCTTTCCATCTACACCTGGGTCATAATCCCCCTCCCCCACAGGAGCAAACAGCATGGAATAGGCTGTACAGGAGTCCATGCCGACCTCTAGCAGCTAGAAAAACTTGGAGAGGAATTTTCCTGCAAGTTTCGTGTAGCTGGCCTTTTCTGTTGGACCATGACCTCACTAATCTCATAGAGCCATAAACCATGTGGTAGTCATATGAAGCTCATTCCCATGGTCCTTCACACAAAAGAAAATGATAGCACAAGGGCTCCTTTCCTTCACTTGGCAGTCATTAGGGTCACTTGAACAGAAGCTCCTTCCATTTTAACCTCTTGAAGCCAAATGGAATTTGGGACAGTAAAGCTCCTATGGGTGTCTATCCACATGCTCCCTGGGGTGGAGGGGGAGGGGTGGCACTTTAATTAGAGTGGCTCTGAGAGTGGGCGTGCTTTAACTAAAGCTAATTCAATGAGCTTTAGTTAAAGCGTCCCTATTGCCATTTTGAAATTTGGGGACAGTGAATGTGCGTGATGCGGAGGCTGCAGGACTATTCTAATGAGTACACTCCAGCAGACTCGCAGAAGACTCTATTAATTGAGTCTGTTCCAACATGTTCTAACGTGCATGAATAGGTGCCCAGTGTTATCAGATCTATTGATAGTACTTACTGCTCCTAGAATAGCCTGTCCAATATAAAAGCATAAACTTAAATTCCATGCCTGAGTGTTGGCAGGTATTAACACTTCATCCAGTTTTATAAGCTGCAAAACACCTTTTCTATACTTTTGGAGAGCTAATGGATCCATTACACTAGGGCTGTTTCATGTGAGCTCAACTGGCAACTAGCAAATTCATTGCAAGGAAAATAAATATTTCAGTAAGGCATTCAACTCAGGAGACCTAACCTTCACCTCTTCTCTGGGGAATTTGCACTAAATCCCCTGAACTTCCTGCCATAAAACCTAGACAAACAAAGATGCAATGAAATAAACATGCACAGCAAATTCAACTAAATCTATTTAAAAAAATAATGATCCAGGTTACAGAAATCAGAAATGGGGAAATGAGCTATTCTTAATACAGTTACAAATGCAGTCAAAAATCAGACCTGTATCCTGTCTATCATACATTCCATTAAGTGTGGTTGAGGTAATTTTGTAGTTAATTGCTTATTTAATATGTTTTCCTCTTATAACATTATCTACTGAAGAAAGACAGCATCCCATGTATCAGTTTGAGGCTTGTGAACTTCTTTCTAATGCCAAGTCTTTGATTAACGTATGTGCAGTGATTCACAATTTTAACAAAAGGTCACAAGATACATAAGGATTTTACTCTCAGTAGCCTTTCCTGGGTGTTAGCCACATATATATTCCATACATCCAGCGAAGAAAATAAAACTGATCCTCCTAAGGGAAAAAATAGTGTTTAGTTAAACATCATCTGATAAATCTAGCAGGTACAAATTGTATTAGCAACATATTTTTATTAATTTCAATAACCATAGAAATCATAGTACCATAAATATTTAGGGCAGAAGGTGCTTGGGAGGCAATAAGGACTTTTATAAGTCAAAAACAGGACCCAATATAAGAAAGTAATTAGAGTCCTAAAAATGTAGGGCTGAAAGCAAGTTCAAGAGATCATTTAATTCAAATCATTCATTGAAACATGATCAAGTATACTCAGACCATTCCCAACAGGTCTTTATATAACTTGTTCATAAACCTTCAAGTGAACAAGATTTCATAACTTCCCTATGTAGCTTGTTCAATTGTTTCACCATCCTAACAATAAGTAGGTTTTTCCTAATTTTCAACTGGTCTTTTTTGCTTTTAAATTGATTTCTTTCCCAAGTGGCCATAAAGAATGATTACCATTGCCTTTATACCAATATGTCATGGAAACTATTATGTCTCCCCTTAGTCATCTCTTCTCTAGACTAAATAAAACAAATCCATTAATGGAATTAGGCTGGGTTTTCCCTTAATGGCTATTTCTGAAAAAAAGAAAAGCATGGGGGATGAGTGGCTAGTTAGGTTTCCTGTTTCCTATCATATAGGATCTTTGTTACACTTGTCCGTTCAGATATTTTAGGGCAGCATCTTCCTCATGCACATGCCCAAATTCATAGTCTACAGAAAGAGCCACACAGGCTAGGAACAGACATTACATTTACCCTGGGACAAGTAGTGCCTATATTTGTCCTGGAACAGAAAAGTCCTGGGATTGACATCTACATACATTGCCCTTCCAGTCATGGTTTAGTGAGTGACTAAATGCACTGCTGCTTTTCTGCTGGAGATTCAATTCCAGAAAAGATGTTCAGACACAATTGGGGATATCCTGGGACAAGCTGTTAACACCTCTTATCCTATGAACCTTTTTAGGGTTTATCCCGGGACAATAGACAGGGATGTCTGAACAATCACACTTTGTCCCAGGAGAAAATGGTTTCTTCTGGAACAAATGCAACATCTGTTTTTAACCACAAAATCTGTGGTTCTGGAAGGCTAATTGGTAGAAGTAATATTCCATGTTCCTCACATAGATTAGGGGAGAGACTGAGGGGGAACAAAAATATTAATATTGGCAGCTGAGCTGAAAGAATGAATTTGTCTCCAAGCCCAATAGTTGTAAAAGTAAGTCAAATGGGGCTACTGAGTAAACAAAAGGAAGTTTATTAGTTCCTTGCAGAAGTGATACTTTCTGTATATGTAGACCTCTGGGCACAATAGGATACACAAAAGGACCTTGTTAGTCTTTAATTATAAATTTGAATGGTATAGGGCTTTAGTTCCATTATCAACATTTGGGCCTTGAGGAACTTTGGGCCTATTCTTCAGCTGCCTGGGAGACTTGTATGCACAGTTCTTCTTAGAAGTCATGGGTGTTGCTTCATGCGTAAATCTGTCGGACTTGAACAGCAAAATGACCATTCTTACTTTAGAGTTTAAAGTACAAACACATTTTTTTTCATACAGCTTCCATATTTTAGAGGCATTTTCAGTTTTCCACTTTCATTAATTGCAGATTAAAGGGAAACTTTATTTTATTCTATCAATTTGGTTAGAATGAGATAGAAACAAATTAGTATGTTTGTAGAGATTCCTGATTTGACATCTGTTACTACAAAGCATCATGTACCCTTTTTAAATAGAAACGGTCAGTGTTCTAAGCCTGTGTCACATTTTTTGAAAAGCAACAGATGTGGTTTCTAGTGTTTTTGTATTTAGGACAATATGCCAGTTGAGCAAAACAAGTTTAAGAATGAGGCATTTAGTGGAAGATTAGAATTGTAAAATATCTGTAAGAAGTGGTTAAGGACTAACGGGACAGTATTGTCAAAGGTATTTTGAACCTTGTATTGGTCTCAGTGGCAAATCCCCTGCATGTTTGTCTCTTAATTAAAAGGAAATCAGGATTTCACTGTATTCATATAGTTGTCTATATAAGGAAAAATAATTAGTCTGGGGGAGAGATTAAGCAGTGGTATTGATATGCAATTCAGCTTGGAGTGTGGCACACCAGACTTTTGGCTGGTTTAGGAAAAGATAGTGTTAACATTGGGTGCATCTACACAAGATGCTTTTGCACAGCAGTTACTGCACATTTATTTAGTACTTGTATAAGTACTTGTATAAGTAGATTTATACTTGTATAAGTACTAAATAAATATGCAGTAACTGGAGTTACTGTGCAGTAGCCTAATAATACTGTGCAGTAGCATATTAGGGTTGTCCATGCTGTATTATTCAGCTACTGCACAGTCAGCATCTTGTGTAGGTGTGCCCAGTAAGAATGAAATGCACCTGTCGTGTCAGAATGGGAACTCCCAGAGCTGTGAGCTCTTGCTAGTAAAAATGTTAATAGAAATTATATAAAAGTGTAATTGGTAAGGTTTCAAGTAATCACTGATCTGAGACAGGCTTATATACACTTAGACATTAGTCACATGGGAAGAATAACACTATTTGCCTTGTTGATGGCTAAACTGAAAACAAAAATCAAATGTTCTAGAGAAAGGACCTGTAGTACTTGCTCCATGCACTGCCTGAGACATAGAAGTAGAAGATTAAAAGTTGTTAATACAAGTTACTATATACAAACTATATGAAATGCTAATGGTACCAGAAGGGAAATATAGAAAATTATTAACAGTTTGTCATAAGTACATACATTTAATGATCATGCTGCTTGTTGGTCAGACAATACAAGCAAGCTGTCTTTTCTTTCCAAGTCTCATAAAATGTGTAAACATGTACTGTACCATGTTTTTTTAATGTGTTTTGATTTTGCAGCAAAATTCCATGCTTTTTTGTTAGTGATAGATATGAATCCATTTAATGTTTTTTGTTTTTATGCAGATGGTTCTGTGAAGGAAAAGAACTCCAGAATACTCCGGATATTCAGATCCATTCTGAAAGTGGAGGCCTTCATTCACTCATCATAGCAGAAGCCTTTGAGGACGATACCGGACGTTACACTTGTCTGGCCTCAAATTCCATTGGCTCTGATAGTACGTCAGCTGAAGTATTCATTGAAGGTAAAAAAGGAAGGGGAAGAGATGAGGATGAAATAAAGACACACAACATACAGAAAATATAAATACATCAAAATGAAACTGATTTTAAATTATGCTGCATTAGTTTGATACTTCAGGATATTTGACACCCATTCAACTCTCTTTGTATCACAATAGCTTTTGAATGTCATGTTCTGTTAATTCAGGTTATTTCAAGGATGAGCAGAAGCCTATTGATTTGTTAAAAGAAAACTGGTAAAGAAAAATAAGGAATGCATGGACCCCTGACATCTAATCTGCAGGCCCAGAGTCTTCAGCCTCTTCTTTCCACAGATCAGAGGTGATGGCAGCTGTTACCACTTTCCAGCAAAAAATGTTTCCTCTTTCAGGCCTGCCCATTCTCTCAGTGTAGTTTAAAATATAAACAATTGAAGTGATTTATCTCCTAGAAAGAAAAGAAATAACAGGTGTCAGCGAAGAAGGAATGAGTGTGTTGGTGATAGATATGATGAGTGTGAAGATTACAGAGGAGTAGTTTGGATGAGTGTGAAGACAACAGAGTAGTAGTTTGTGAAATTAAGGACTTAATATTCAACATCAAGCAAACATGATAATTTATATAGTTGCTAATTACTTTGTTATAAATTAGGCCAGATTCTAATATTTATTCTTGTAAAGGCTTTATGGAAAATTAAAATATGATCAGGACTAGAATCAAATGCCAGTGTTCTCATTTTTGTTTGAATTTATAATTGCCCGGAGGTCATGTACCAGATTCACAAACTACATTTTTTAATATATTGACAATAGAAAAACATTCAAAGGATGTTTTTACAGTAGCCTAATGTAAGCAGTTATGTTAATTAAATGATATTTTTTCCTTGAATTAAGCAATGTTTTCATAGCCATTTGTGGAGAAATTTGCTCCTTTGGCAGTTTCAAGTGTCTGCTGAATATATAAAAACAAATAAATATAACAAATCTGTTTGGATATCAGCATACTAATATACTTGAACAGGTAGCTCTAACAGGTCCAACAGAAAATCTAGTTTCCACTAGTAATTTGTAGCTGAAATGTATATTCAGTATGTATTCCCAAATAACATTTATTATTGTATATGTCTTGTAGTTTCAGTGCTCTTTTGGGCACTTAAATACAAAGGAAAATCCTTTATCTTCTCCATAAATTCATAGTCAGTGCTGCTGTTAGATCTGTATTGATCCTGTCCTGAGATCCAGTTACAGGATTCTCATCACCATGCAGAATTTCGTTAATTTAATGGCATTTTTGCAAAGCTTGTGAAAGTTGCCTTGTAACTATTTGGATGTGGTACCATGTTAAAGCAGAGCTGGGAGGGCAAGGAAAAATAGTGGTGCTGATGCAGCTATCTGGTCCCAGCATAGCTCCTCACTGCCCAGCTGTGGCATGGGTGTGGGCAAAGGCTAAGCCCTTCAGTTCTGAGAGCCAGATCCAGTGACTCTGTGGACTGTATTTTGCTGACCCCTGCTTAAATCAATGGTTTTTTAAAAAGAAAATAGTATGTATGTGCTTTGCTAGCAATTTATTGCTTGTCTTTATGTTAATGCTTTCTGTTTCAGGTACAGAATGGGTATGTCTACATATGCACATTACTGCACAGTAGACTAATTAACTGCAGAGTAAAGCATCACTGTCCACACGTGCGGCAACTGGGCTAGTACAGACTAATTTACACTACCATTGTATAGTCCTGTCAGACACAGGTACTAGCTGTAAATTACTACAGAGTAAATTGCTATGCATAAATGCACATGTAGATAATGAAACTGGGATTAGTTTACTCTGGCTTATATTGCACTGGAGTTGATTCAGTCACATTAATTACACATCTAGATGCACCCAAAAAGCAGTAAAATAGGCTACTGTGCATTAAGTATTACTTAAACCATGTACATTTATTACTTCACATTAAGGCAGCTTAATGCATACTACCTCACACCGGAGGCACTAAATTTAATGCGCATTAGGAAAAGTGCCTTAATGCATGTGTAGGTGCACCCTCTAAGTTGAAGATTTTTCCAGTGAAGTACCAGGTACTGTTAATAAAGTCAAAGACAATGATGTGAAAAAAAGATTTTTAGCAAGTTCAAAATTTTTCCATCTGTACAGATTATTCTAATATAATAAAGGGCTTAGTCCATCTGTCCCTCTGTCCATAATGCTCTTGGAGCACTCTGATTGGTTACTGAAACAACCAATCAGAGTGCTCCAAGAGCATTACTGATAGGAGGCAGCGGTGCAGCAGAGCGCCATCATGATGGTGGGGACAGAGAGGATGGTGTGGGGGGATGAGGTCAGCACCAGTGGCCTCACCCCCTGCCCCCCACCATCCCTGTTCCTTGGAGACAGTGGCGGCACAGGGTGCTGATGCAGGGCACAGTGGGGCAAGCTTCCCCCACTGGTCCTGAGAGGCAGTGGTGGGGGCAGGGGGGTTAGGGTTAGCAAAGTTCCTCCCCAATCTGTCCCCACTCCCTCCCCGCACTCCCTCCTCCATCATTCTTGATGGGCAGTTCGCTAGTGTTAAAATACTTGCTCACAATGAGTTTAATTGTGGTTAAACTGGTTTCAATTTTAAGTATGGTAAATGACAAATAAAAAACTTACCAGAACTATAGATCAAAATTTGAAAAGTGATTCAGTTCCTTTCAAAGTTAAATTTAAAGGAAGAACAAAATCCCTAGTTGCTATGTTTGCAGCATTATGTATGTCATTAATGAAGATGAGAAATGGGAATTACAGTATGTTGTTCTCAAAGGCTCTGCAGTATCAGTATTAGCAGTTTGGAAATAGGTATAATTCAGTCCTACCTCTGAACTGTAGGTAGGAATGGCAGTAGTGTAACTAGGGTGGGACAAGCAGGGCACTAGCCCCAGGCACTGACTGTGAGTGGGTGCCACAATCCCCCCTCCACACCAAGAGTCTGTAAGACAGTAGTGCAGCTCTGTGCTGCCTCTGCCTGTGCATTGGACAGCCCCGCACCCAGCAGTGCATCTGGGGGGCAGGGAGAGGGGGGTGAGTGGATTGGTACTCCCCAACTTCCAGGGAGTTTTTTTTTTTCCCAGCAGGTGCAGTCCTGAGCCTAGTAATATATCTGGGGAGGGGGAGAGCAAATGGGGATCCAGGGATGGCTCCTAGGGAGTCTGTCTGTAGGGTTGCTATGCCAGCCAGTCTCTGCTGCTGCTGCCTGGGCTCTCTGCACAGGGAAGCCAGTGTTGGCTACAGTAGCAGCAGCAATAGCAGTAGCAGCAGCCTTTTGTGTGCAGAGAGCCCAAGTAGGTAACACTTCCCTTCCTCTCTACCCCCCTGTTGGTATATCACTTTGCCCCCCCACCATCTGCCCTGAGTGAGCTTGTATAACTCTGAAGAATGTGGCCAGTTTAGCATGCAAATGTTATGCTATCCATAGTTGTAGTTAAGGTTAAAGTTTAGCTGTAAATATATAATCCACACCAGTTCAGCTGTAAACACAAGGATACATCTGTCTGCCACTTTGTAGCAAGTGTGAGCAAGTATCTGGATACTGACATATGATATCATTGTCAATTGTCATTACAAATCTGGTTTTGCTTATTAGTGGAGCACCTTACCTGATGAACTGGGAAATGAATGACAGGTTCAGAAATAAGGTGACATAACTAGGCAGTATGATCAGTTTATAATACCATAATCTACTGATACATAGGGAATCTTAAAATAATGTTGACTTTTGAAACACTTTTTGAAACCAGTGTATTTTTTTATAGTATTGTTTAAGATACTCAGGTTTAATGCTGTCTGAAAAAAATCCTTGTTCATACTTAACTACCCTGTATATCTTGTCCGTTTAACATTTTTTTCTCTCCACTCTTATTTTAACACTCGCTGGTTGTGTCTACATGAGACACTGACTGTGCATTTGTTACTGTGCAGTCATTTAGCACTTGTTTTTTCTAAAGTACTTATATAAACATGTACTAAATAATCGATCGGTAACCCAAGTTACTGCGCAGTAGCATCACATCATAGTTTTATTTATGCTGTATACTACAAGTCTGTTCACAGTAATGCTTTATAATTCCAAAGCAATAGCATATTTGTTTTTTGAAGTTAAGCATAGGTCAGAGAGGAATTATTAAAGGCTTTGAATATGTTTTCTTTTCTAGGTGCCAGCTCAACTGATTCTGAGAGTGAAAATTCAGTTTTCAAGTTAAAATCTGGAGCTATGCCACAGTAAGTGAAAAGTAACACAAATGATATACGCATTTGCTAAGGAACTATGTAAGAATGATAGCAAAAAAGTTTTATGATCCGTCTTCACTGATCTTACTCTAACAAAAGCAGCTAACCAATGTTAATCAGTGATCAGATTATAAAAAGTACCAAATTGGACTTTGACATTAATACTTGTTTACGTGCTGGTTTTATTGTAGGATCAAAGCTAACCAAATAGGAAATAAATTTAATCTAATGGACATCAGTTTAAAGCAAAACAGGTTGGATTAAAACACTTGCATAAAACACAGACATCCAGACTAACTACTCACTGAAAGCCTTATAGGAAGAGAAAATCAAACGTCTGTGAAAGAAAGATTTCATGTGGATGAAAAAATGATGATGTATTAATATCATGTTCCTATTGAAGGAAGGGGTAAATTTCCTAGTAATTGAACAAAGCCAGAATTACAATGGAGGAAAAAATCTGTTTGCCACATTGGATTTCAATAAGCATTTGGGGATGAAGGTAGTTTAAATGTCCCCATGAAACAGCTCCATTCTGAATTTTGCTATATCGCAATTCAGAAGGGTAATATTTTAAAAATTAAAAATTAAATGAAAATAAATTATCAATTTACCCCAAGCAAAATGCTGCTCCTTGCCTGCCTGATTCAAGTATCTTTCTTTACTTCTCAGTTGTTGAAGTATTTGTGGGGATGGGGCAGAAGAGGAGGAATATTGAAAGTTGTATTAACAAGTGTTACATATCCTTGTTTAACTCATCTATAAAAAAAACCTCACATTTTTCAATTGGAAAAATTAAAAATATTTTTTCCCAATTTAAAGGTTATAATTCACAGGGTACTTTAGAAAGCAAGAAAAAGTCAATATCTTCTACTTCTGATGGTCAGATAATTATTTTTTGAATAAGTCATGAAAATAATCTCACTCAAACCTTATCACAAGAGCAGCCTGTGTACTGCATACCCTGTTTCTGTTTAATCTCCTTCTCTTGTGATGCAAAGAGAATGAACAAGGTTGTAAATGTGGACTTCATTAATATCCGGACTCCACCTGCTTAGTCATGTTTGCTTTAAGTCAGGGGTTGGCATCCTATAGCTCATAGGCCAGCCTGTGAAAAGACTGGATCTTGACTGTGGCTGCTCAGGGAATTAGCAGCATGCTCCAAGCCTAAGCAGCAGAGGAGGCATCCCCGGGGTCTTTCGCCTACCATATTGTTTATTTTTGCTGCTGCAACAGAAGAGGCATCTCCAGAGTCCTAGTGCCTGCCTCTTCTTTTTGCTCCCTTCATGGAATTTGCTGTTTACCAAGGGGCTACAGTAGTGTAGCCTGTGGCAGAAACTGGGTCCCAAGCAATTGCCCACAGTTGCAAAAGTTTGTCTACATCTGCTCTAACTGCACTGAAGAAAAAGGACCACTTACAGAAAAAGAGGGTAGTCATTATGACAACAGGATAGACAGAGGACAAGAGAGAGAAAGCAATGGGAGCGTGGGAGGAGTGAAGAGAGAAAATATTGGATCACTCTCTTTGGTTTAGCTCTATTGTATTTCGTTTTTGAGTTTGTTACTTGTAATACACCATGTTCAATAACACTGATATAAAGTGCTTGCTTCTCCCTTTTGTCCAGGGCTCAGAAGAAAACTACTTCTGTTTCCTTAACAATAGGATCTTCTGCTCCAAAGGCTGGAGTCACCACAGCTGTAATTCAGCCTATTTCTGTGCCCAGTCAGCAGGTAATCAGACATCATGCTGTTCAGTCAATAAAATTTGCGAAACTTGCTTCTCAAGAGCTCAATACTGCTAAGAGATGAGGGTCATTTTTTTGCATAATTCAACTTAAAAGCTTAACATTTTGTTACCATACAAAGACATATAAATATATAAAAAGTGTGTTATAACACTATTTACTTTTATAGTTCATTCAGTTTGGGTCTTATCACATCAACAGATGTTTTGTTCTACATAGCTTCTTTTACCCAGTTCATTAGCATGGTATCTAAGGATGTGAGAATATTGGTAATGTAATAAATATTACACAGGACATCATGACTAGTGGGTGGTACCAAAAGAGTGTAAAAAGAATGCATGTAAGAAAACTTCAGGCGCACGCTGTTTTTAATAGAAATATTGAATAACAAACAGGTCTTCAATCTTTATATCTGTGATTAATTTAAATTAACCCATTATGGTTTTGGTATGTAGTTCAAGGACAGTTAGTGTGCTATTTTGTGCATCATATATTGCAAATTAGTCTTGCAAAAGTTGCAAAGTATCTTTTTCTATATATATAATTCATATTAGGCTGTAGAAAATCCCTTTTTTCCCCTCAATATTACTATAATTGAAATTATTTATCTTTTCTCCTTTGGTTGGTTAAACTAATTCAAACTTCTGTCCATAGTTTTGTTCCAGAAAATTGTAGAAAAGTAAAGCTAGGAAGGACCTCCGGAGGCCATATAGTACAAGCCCCTGCCTAAAACAAGATTGTCCCTATCTTAAACTATTCCAGACATGTGTTCATCTAATCTGATCTTTAAAAATTTTCCATTGTTGAACTCCTCCAAGATTGTATGGTAACTATCCAGAGATGTAAAAGTACTTAGTGTTCAAGAGATATTTTAAAGATATTCACAGGAATCAAAGACACAAAGCCTATTAAGATAATGACAGTTGGGTGCACTGTTCCCCAGGGGTGCATAGAAGTCTTTACATCTTGCATTTCCATTTCAGAACTATAACAGATGTGAAATCATGAGGTCACAGACTGAGTGTACTGTAATGAGAACACCATATCAGAGCTATGTACTTAAGAAACTGCATCAGATGGATAGATTTGTATTGATAATAACTTATTCAAACTCTCAAATACTAGTACCTTTAGCATTTCAAGCAATTCCAACCTTGTTTTCTAGGTCCAAAGTCCTACTTCATGTCTGTACCGTCTAGATGGATCCAAGCCAGTCTGCTGTGCACCCATTTTTACAAAGGTCTGTGTTCTCAGTCATGATCCTCCATTCCTTTATTTTTTTCTATTCCAGTTTCTAATATCAGAACATCATATCCTTAATGTATGAACCTTTTAATACTATTAAAATATTTCTTGGGTAGATTTCTATGTGGGTATTATTAGCTACTTAAGAAAAACAATTTGGGAATTGTTACAAACATTAGAAACAAAACATTTGTGAACACATGATGATAGAAAGATCCATTACTATTAATGTGTCCCCTAAAACTAAAATCTGATGGTTTTTATGTTATTTTAGAAACAAAAGCACCCATTGTGTACTTATACCAAAATTTCAAACATCTCATTTTTCATAACTGTATATATATTTTAATATAAAGTTGTAAGACACTTCATTGTCAGCAACAAAATGCTGTGAAAATCCTGCCACGGGTTATTGAAAATCTGAGATTACTTATAGTTTAAATTAGTATTTACTCTTGTATTCACCCTAAATCAAAGTTCAGGATATATACGGTAGAAGTAAATAAGCCAACATAGCAGCTATATGAAGAAGTCTCCTTGCTTTCCAAAACATAGTTTTCAGCAATAAGTAACCTGTACTATCTATCCATCCTTCCCCTAGCATGAGTTTGCTCATGCTTTCCCCCCTCTTTTATACAAACTACAGCAATGAATTGCCATCTCAAGACTAAAGTTTAAAACTTAAATACCTTTAAATACCTTTAAGTGTGTGAGTATTCAGTGGAAAGACTCCTTCCATACTTTTAACCCCAAGTGCTTTCCTGGATCAAGATCCATTCTAAAAGCATAACTTTTACAGAAAAAAAGAAGTAGTTAGCCATATTAGTCTGAAGTCAAGCAGAAGGCAATTAGAAGGGTGGCATTAGAGATTAGCTAGTTCAGAGATGCATAAAGTTTGATAGGTGACAGCCTATTATATCATATTCTATGAATATTTCCTAATCTAGATTCCAATTTTAAAACATGCTCCAGCATGATCACCGCATAGCCAATATATAAGACCTGATTCTTGAAAAATATAAGCTGGCTCTAATCCTCTAATAGTGAGGAGTTAACTATTTTCCACGGGTTCCTGTTTGATGATTTCAGAAGCTTCATAGCAGCTGACAAAGTAAGTTATCACCTACAAAAGCTTCTCTGAATAAGTTCTCTAAGATGCTACCCTGCCCTACCTTCCACAAGTAAAATAAAGGACTGAAGCAGAGAGACAGACAGCAAGAAATTAGTCTCTTATTTTGCTTCATGATCTTAATATGGGCAACAGCGAACTATACATGGCAATTGTAATCTTACTACTCACCTCTTCCTTAAGCCTGAGGTTTCATCTTCACTGGGTGCATCTACACATGCACTTAACGGTGCATCAGATTAACTTGCTGCGGTGTAAAGCATCAGAGTTTACACATGCAACACTATTAGACCACAGCAAACTAATTTTCACCACCATAAAGTAGTACTGTCGGGAACAGTACTGTTTTATGGCACTGAAAATAACTGCACCTAAACACATCTGTAAACACTGACCCGGGCGTAAGTTGTGCCCAGTCAGCCCAAGCAGCTGGAGGCCAGACCTCTGCCTGCCACCTCGCCATATGGCTCTGCTCTTTGGGCACTCTTGTGCCCCATCCAAGCCCCCTTCTGGTCCCCCCTAGTGAGTTTATAGATGGTCACC